AAACACATAATGACTGTGATGATGATAACATGGTGGATGGTTATGAAAAGTGGACTTGGAGCAAGCTTCTCTATGCTTGTTATTTCTGGAAAAATTAATTTTAAGTGAGAAGAATAGAAGATGCTTGTTTTCCAAGAAGATTTAAAGCATCAAAAGCTATGTTTTTCTCTTGGGAGCAAATTTGATAGAGCTTATTTTCATTAATCAGTGTAAATTCTGCCTTGAGCTGTGACCCCATTACATGGCAGCCTAGGAAAGAAGGCAATGAAATGTGCAGCTGTGATGCTGTGTTGCTCCCAGTGTAGTGAGCTTCCCCTGGGCAAATGGGCTTCACCCATAGCTCTGGCCTGAGGAATCTGCCTTATCTTCCTTCCTCAATGCCTTTGTCCACTTAATGTACAATATTAATTGAACTGCTTAGTAACAAGGCTCTATTTTACCCTTTTAAGTTTTAACCTTCAAAACTGAGCAGAGCAGCACCATCTGAATGAAAGTTCTTCACATATGTATGTGGACAGGAATTTTTGTTATTCTTTGAAGAGTTCTTTGAAAGCTTTTTCTTTCCTCTGGCTTCCACCTGAAAGCCTATTGAACAGGAACATTGTGTTATAGTTGCGATAAAAAGTTAGATCCATGCCTATACCCAGAGCCCTCCTGAAGAGGGAACAGCAGAGAGATCTGCTGTGACTTGGTAGTGACATTTACAGTGATATCTGGAGCTGACAGTCAGATTTCTAATATAAGCCATGTGAGCCTTCCCGCCCCCTGTGGCTCCCTGAATGCTGTCCAAATTTCTATGCCTTATTCAGAAGGGATCATCTTATATTCATCAATCTGAATACAGCTTCTCTGTGCCCTTGGATGGTGGAGACAGGAAGAAACAAGCTGTTCCAGAACTGTTGTATCTGCTGGAGCTATGCTGGGTGTCATGGTGCCCAGGTTGCCTGGCTTCTCTCATGCTATCTCAGCTGTGTGAAACTGAGATTGGTCTGTGTTGCCAAGCAAAGGGGTTTCCAGTGTATGCTGTGAAGCAGTATTCCTTTGTGGGTGACCTTCAAAATCACCTGAATGGTTTAGGTTCTAGCTACCAAAGCAAACAGCTAACACTGGTCCCAAACTAGGCTTTAACAAATAGAAGCTTCTCATTTAATTGAGGAGGTAATCAAGGCAGTTGTACTCATGGCCCTACTGGCCTTGTCTGACTACAGAATTCTGTGCCTGGACTTCGTTATTTATCCATTAGGACAAATGCTATCAATTATAAAATATTTAGATGCTTGATTGGAAAATTGAATGCGTAGTGATGAATTTTATACAAAAGAAGCAGATCTGGCTGTAATTTGCAGAATATGCTGTGTTGACTTAGGGGGATAACTCATGCTCCTGAGAGTTCAAATATTTGTCTGAATATATAAGCGTTTTCTAACAAGTCTTTGAGCAAATGGTAATCCTCCAGTGCTCGTGAACTGCCTGATTCTCTTGCAGAAAAACTGAATCAATAAATCCATATAAATGGCACCCTTAGATGAAAAAGATATTATCTCAGTCTGCCATTTCTCATACTACCTAGGGGAAAATTGTATGTATCTTGTTCAGCCCACCACTCTTACCAAGGAAGAAATGTTTCTTTTTACAAACAGATTATATACATTAGCTTAATAGTAACAACTCGGAAAGGATTCACATTTCACTGCAATTACAAGCCAGGGCAGATCCTCAGCAAACAGAAGTGTTAATCTGGTTACTAGCACATGCTGAAGACTGGTTCCCTGTACTACCGTGTGTTGCTGTGATGTCTTTGGTCTGCTGTATGCCCACATCTATAGGGTGCACTGCTGGGAAATGATACCTTTTTGGGAGGCTTCTCTGATGGGAGGCTTCTTCTTCCCATCCTTGTGTGTCTCTTAGATGAGTCCTGACTTGAATATCAGCTCTGTCCCTGAGGATAGAGAGTGGCTGAACTTCCTCGACTCCCTTTCTCAGTGAAGTGTTAAGATCTGTCTCACAGCATCTGGTAGCAGTGATATTTCCTTAGAGTGCAGTCCTGCTCTTCACTTTCGTTTCACACCTGGAGTTGTAGCTATTAGCATTTGTTCACTACCTCCTGTCATGGGGTTCAGTCCCACGGAGACTGTTTCTTGTCCTTCCCATGATGGACTGGCTTGTGATGGCTACTGTTCTGTCTCTGTGCAGAAGGCTGCACCATGGATTTCCTAACTGGGGCTGGACAAACCCACCATCCATCTCTGCAAATAACCTGTGGGGAAGAGCTGCACCTTCAGTGGCTGGTGCCAGGAAATGTGAGAGTTTTTTGAAGGGATTTTATGGATTCTCTTTCCATCATGTTTCTGTGTGATGGAGAAGCCTGGCTTTTTTTTCTCATTTTTTGTGTAACTTTATTGACAGCATATAGAATTGGGACTTTTTTACCCAGTGTGAGACTCATTTTGTGAACCAGACCACACTGTGGACTGTGGTTCAACATAGCATGGTGCTCGGATAGAAACAAACATAATTCTAAGTGATGTCTTCACATTGTTTTATTCAACAGATATATGTTTTGCTTAAAAGCAAAGCACGGTATGAATCAGTCTTATCTGAAATCACTTTTAAAAAGAGAAACAAGTAGAACATCAGATGCAATAAAAGCTAAATGCACAATAACCTGAGGCAGAATATCATGGCAAACCATGCTGCAGAGTATAAAGCTACATAACACTGACAACAGGTAGATTTTTTTACAACAAGTAGGTACAGTCTTTCCACACCACAAAAGACCAATTGTGTGGTTTCCTCTGGTGATTTGTTTCAGTTCATCTTAATGCACTACAGCAGGTGTTTCAAGAGGCAGGCTGAGCTAACAGAACAGATCCTAGTACTGCTGAGCTGTAACTTGTGAGACACAGATAAGGCTGAAAGCATTCAAGTTTAGCTTACTTGTCAGTTGTTGGGTTTTTCTCTGGTCACTGCCTGAGATGTGGGAGAATTTTCCTCCTTTGCCCATGTTCCACAGTGAGGTTGGTGGGTTGGTGTTTTTGTGTTGTTATTTTTTTTTCCATATTAAGGATTATGAAATTAGATTGGAAAAGTGGGGGTGTTGGGCAGGTGGAAATCTAAAGGATGGTATGGGAGGAAATGAGAACTGGATGAAGAAATTTATGGTGTGATCAGAGGGCATGGGAAATAGGGAGCATGAGGTTGTTTGGGCTGATGGGCAGTGTGGCTAAAGCACAGGGAGAGGTGGTCCTTGGCCCCATGACAATTATACACTCCCTAGGACTGGGAAGTTAGGTTGCTCCCTGCTTAGGTTGTAGGATACTGAGAATAAAGTAGAGTCAAAAACAGGACAGTATTTGCAAACTGTGGGGCACGTTTTCCCCATGGACAGCCAGGGCTGGGTTCTGGAGTCAGTAGCAGTGAAACACTATCAGCCTGAGTTGTATCAGGACTACTGTGTGAATGCAGAACTGAAGGCAGAGTAGACTGGAAAGCTCTGGTCTGGAAAATTGCTCCTAAGCTGACAGAGGGGAGCCCCAGAAATAACAACCACCCAGCAAATCTACTCGAAAAAAAAAATCTTAAGTCAAATGAGATCTAAAAGATGTTTGAAGGCAATAGACAACCATGAAGTTGTCCTAACAGTGAGATACCAAAAAGGTGCAGAGTAGACTTTAGGATGGTTTAGAGCTCTCTTAGTCTGGCACTGTCTGAGATACTGCCTGTATGTTGCATTATATACGAATTGTGTCAGCCTTTGCTCAGTTACAATATGCTATTTGAAGGCCACTTAACTGGTTTTTGTCTATAAAAAGCAGAGGCAAAGACTAAAGGCTATTGTAGCTGAAGCTGCTTGCTTTACATGCCACCAGCTGGCACACAGCATTTGAAAATGATTGCAGGCAGCAGGTTGCTTTCCTGTTTCCAGTGCAGAAGTGTCCATCCACCAAGCTCAATACAAAGCTCTTTAAGTAAAAGGAGACTGACCCATGACATATTTCTCAGTGCATAGATGCATCTTATTACTTTCAGGTACCTGACTTAGCCAAATGGATTTCTTTAAAGACTCCATGCAGCATTTACACAAAGCTAAATTCAGAGTTTTTTCTTTTTGCATTTTAGCTATTCCTTATGTTTGGATCTGTGTAGACTTCAACATTTTCTAGGATGGTTCTCATCGGTGACAATTTATCAAAAGGAGATTTCTGTGACTGACTTAACTTATCAAGTACTACATTGAGTCCATTCCAGTTAAAAAAAAAATCCTAAGGATTCAAGGCTATAATACTCCTATATCACAATAAGTAACGTAAGTGCCTTCTCCAAATGAGTCACTTCTCTGAGGCAACCGTTTAGGTTGCACTGTCCACTGATATATTAGCTGTTCTTTTGCACTTAAATATATTTTTTCAGTAGAAATCGGTTAAGTGCAAGAGGAATGTTTGCTTTCACCCTTCAAAAATTTTACTCGAGTTGCTTTATAGGAAGCAACATAAAAGTCAATCATCTTTTTAATAAAAGGTGGAGGCATACGAGCAAGTGTAGCGCAATGCTGCTGCCTGTTAGTGTTTTGATTTGTCTTGCAAGTGAATAGCTTTCCGTAGAGGTTACTAGTGGAATCTTTTAGAAAACACTGACTTCTTGGTAGTGGCACAGAAATAAAGCAACAGGTACAAATGAGTGGCAGAGAGAATATTATTTCAATCTCTGTAAGTTAGTATTCCCTTTCAGGTATCATTTTTCCACAAAGTTTCTTAAGCAATTTTGTAAGCCACTCTGGATTTCCTTCTAACTATTGAAATAACTTCAAATAACAGAGTTGAATCTGTTTTTTTGTTTTGAAAAGTATGAATCAAGGCATCAAGTAGGAGGTTATTTTTTCTTTCCTGTGCCTTTCCTTCAAGCACTGCTTTTAAAGTGGAGCTGTTACATATCTAGATACATACATATGTTCGTGCTCCTATTGTGTGCATTCCCTCTAGTCTCAACACCAAGCTAGATGTTTACAGCATGCACTGTCCCACACTCATGCCGTAACAGCAACACACTATTTCTTTGAAAGTTTTTCTCATCTCTAGACTCCGGAAAGCATAAATGAGTGGATCAATTACTGAGTTGCACATTATCAAGACCAGATAGGTATTGAAGTGTGAAGTGTAGCAGACACAGTATGGATTCATTGGGCAAGAAATGATGAGAATGAGGTGAAGGAAGAAAGGTGCCCAGCAAACGATGAAGACACCAAGTAATATAGTGATGGTGACAGCTCCCTTCATGCAGGTCCGTTGGTAGGGCACCCCATCCACAGGGAGGGCTGCGATCCGCTTAACGTGCAGGCGTGCAAACAGGAACATGTGGACGTACAGGGAGGCCATGAGAAAAAGCATGGTAAAGAACATGGTGATGAGACAGACAATGACAGTTTTGCTTTCTGAGTAGGCAATGAATATGATGCCACAGATGATACAAGCAATCCAAATGACCACAATCAAGGTTAAAGCTTTCTTCACAGTCATGATGCTGTGGTAACGGAGAGCATAGAAAATAGTTATGTACCTGTCAATGGCTATAACCAAGAGGTTGCAAATTGAGGCTACCAAAGAAATACAAATCATTGAGTCAAAAACATTGTCCATATGCTGAATGAAGTGGTCATCGATGATCAAATAGCCGTTGCTCAGGATCGCAATCATAATAGTCTCCAAGGCATTTGACATGCTCACTAACATATCTGCCACAGCCAAGCTGCAAAGGAAGAAATACATGGGAGAATGCAGGTTTCCATTCTTCAGCACTGCAAGAATGACAAGGATGTTTTCCAGGAGGCTGATGATCCCTAAAGTCAAAAAGACCTCAGCTTTTATGAAGACCTGCTCACAAAAGCCATCGCTGCTTCTGTTCAGAACTGAGTCATTGAAGTCTTCAGTGACATTAAGCAGCACGGGCTGAAATGAAAACGCCAAGTGTGTGGTATTCATTGTCAGCAAAGGAGCTGAAGTCACGAGTGGTTTTGGACCTGGCAGAACACATTAGAGAAAAGAAAGGGAGGAAAAAGAAGAAAAAAGTCCTTCCAAGCTGTTGCTGTGTACATGGGACGGAGTCAAGCAGGACTTTTCTTTAGTCACTTTTGCAAGTAAAAACATAAAAAAAATCTGCCTTTACAGAGAGCTTTGTGTCAGTCACAGGCTGCTCTTCTTCTTTATAAGAAAGTGAGCTTCAAATCTTGCAGGAATCAGTTTCCTCTGAAGGCAAAAATCATCACTGCTTGTTCTAGCTCTCCTGATGTTTACAAGCAGGGAGTTTTCTCATCTGCTGGGGCCAGTGCAGGTTTGTTGCCAGTGTGTTGCTGCTCAACGAAGTATCTCTTGCTGTTTCAGTGGAAAGAAAGGAAAAGAGAACTAAAGGATTTATACATACATGAAATTAAAAACAACTCCTACTTAATCCCCCGTGCAGAGCTCTGGCCATTAGAGAGCAAGCACCTTTCTGAGTGGCAGCAGGGAGCGCCAGGTCCTGCAGCTCCACCGCTGGCTCAAAAAAGACTGTCTGGCGCCCTCTGCAGATAGCCCATGGGAGGGATTTGCCTTAAAATTCGTCTTAAAAATGGAATTTTCGTCCAGCAAAATTTATGCCTGTTCTCGGCAGCCGTGTCCTGTCCTTGGGAGTGAGCAGGGGCAGGCAGCTGAGGGTGGTGGGTGTGGAAGGGTGGGCAGGGCGCCCAGACACTGCAAATAATATGCCCATGATATAGTTGCTGAGGTGCTCCAAAGGCTGTCGTTAGATAGATAACATTGGTCTCATCAGAGAGAAGCTCCCAGGGGTTGCATTGCTTGTCCAAAAATGGTTTGGGTTTTGTTTGTTTTGATTCCCAGCTTCTGTGAAGCCGAGTGCAGCTGTGAGTCTCCACCCCGTGCTCTCTCTGCAGCTCTGCTGAAGGGTCTCAGTCACACTAAAGCCTTAAACAGCTCTCAAAAGATGATAATCTTCGAAGTGTGCTATGTTGTACTGGCAGAGAAGGGTCATCCCAGGAGGTCTAGAGGCTTAGCTGGTTATTAAACCTATTACACGGAAGTTAATTTGTATCTGAATTAAACCTCCAAACCATTTCTGGTAGCATTGGTTTCAAGGGCAGAGTTCTTCAAGTTCAGTTGCCTAGTTAAACTTGTTTCTTTTTTAAAGCAGATAGTTTAAAGCAACAAACTATTTCTCCTGTGCCTCTAGTCCCATGGCAGGGAAAAGATATTCCCTCTGTTCAAGTGTACCAGTTATGGATTTAAGCCTAGAGCAGCTATCTTTATTTTGTGCAGTGGCTTCCTGCCAGCTTCTCAAGTTGATGGAGTGCTCTCCAGATAGTGATTTCAAGCCATAGTGACTAGAGTTGGTCTTGCAAATGTTGTCTTTCCAGCTGAGGAGCCCATGTTTGCAAAGCTGCCAGCTCTGTCCTTGGGTACTGTCTTGTGAAGTGGCAGGTGGAAATTGTTTCCTCCCAGGATGAGGACCCCCCAGGATCAAAGGCAGAGCTCCCATTTATAGAGGAGACATCACCATGCATCCTTCTGGGTTTGGCCCTGGATTACCTGCCGATGAAAAGTCACTTATGTTTTAGGCACTCACGTGTAAACTAATTCATAGGAGTGCTTTGCCATTTACATTTCAGTCCTGTGTTCCCCATCTGGTTGGTCTCAGCAATATACTGCATTAGTCCTGTAAGCACCAACTCCAGAATGCTCCATCCCTTGTTGCTACACTCTTTCAAAGGACAGCTGCAGATTTACTTGCC